TAAATATTATTATTATCCGTGTCTCATCCTGGCTGCCTTGAATCCTCTCATAGTGTTCCGGCGGTTGGCAAGTTCCGTCGCGAGAGCTTCATTGTGGTGACTCAGTCCACCTTCAAAATGACTTCTTGCCTCATTCATGGCCGCTTTCGCCTGGCCCCTGAGAGGGGTCAGCCAAATTACCCCAAGTGATTCTTCGGCAAAGCCTCCTCACCAACATCCTTAAAGTTCTCCAGGAAGGTCCGCACATCCCGATCCTCAGAAGTTTGTGGTCATGAGATATTCATCCGTATCATGGGCGTGACACCAAACGAAAGGAAGAAAATCCTCCGCCCCAAAGTCATTTAATAACATACGCACACATAAATGTCACTGGATAGGAAATAAACATCTCATATGCACATACCATTTAAAAACTTGACATTCACACGCGTCTTCTTGAACTTTTATGGATGTGCATTGGCTATCACGCTATTGCAAACGAACGCTGAAAAGCGGCTCCCCAAGTTCCGTGATAAACTTCACTCTCCTCCAGACACGGGGCGGAGCTTCGAGAAAACCACGGATTACTCGCATACCTCATCAGCATTTTCCGAGGCAGCAGCGTTCGACATTTCCGTTCACGAGGTGAAAAACTACGTCCACCGAAATTAAAAGACCCGCGGCTATATGGCTTTCACGGGGCACGTGGAGAAACCTGGCTTACATCAAATGTCTCTGACGTGGAGAGCTTCGTAAATGGTTCAGAATGTGGGGCGGCTGGTGTGTTTCATTTATGTTCACGTGTGGTCCTGCCCATCTCGATCGCTCTCCCTGATACCATCCCTGCAGTGTTCGGAATACACTTTGGATACGAATTCCGTGGCTGATCGAGCCCTCCGGAAGACGAATATTTCTTCACACAAGCACTCGAGCAACTCTCCCCCACCAACCACTTCACACGTCTCTTGCCGGTAGATGGTTATTACGCCCCAAGGCTTCTTGATGGGACCCTAACCTGTCCGGTGCAGTGGGCATTTTTCAGTAACGTAACCACTCACCCGACAGTGCTCTTGGACTCAACATTACGCCGAATGCACCAGATTCCGTGCAGGCCAACCACCATCCCTCCTGGATTCGGTCAGCACCACGAGAGACCCTTCGTTGATCAGGTGTTAATGGACGCGTCACTTGACCATAATGACCTCTGTATCATGATCGTTGACTCCATCTGCTACTCGGCCAGAAACCCCGAACCACAAACATGGATTCAAAACTTCTGCCATGCAGACTTCTCAAAAATGCACATCCTTCTTGATCATCTGGGACCAGATTAAGCAGCAGACTTCTACATAACCCTTGTCCAGAAATCCACGAGGCCGAAGCCTCGTGCATCCTAAAAACCCAGAACTCAATCGAATCCATCGAAAGCAACCTAAAAGGATTCGGCGTCTGCTGTGAATGAGGAAGCAACTATTTTTTTAAAAAGTTGACTGCATGAGACACAAAAGATGAGCTGGCGTTTCGTAGAATGCGAAGTCACTGTAAATCGGAAATCCACCAATGGACCATTCGTGACGTTTCCCCGTAAAACAGAAATGTGCTGTTCAAAAACATGAGACCGCCAAAAAATAAGCCGACCGCGATCTCCTTGAGACAGAGAAACAAGGAACTCACAAGTGGTGCACTAATGGTATCCGATGATCACGGAGAACAATATGCAGGCTTGTATTCAGGCCCCAGTTATCTCATCACACCCACACTTGTTGAGGCAAGACTGCCAAGGGCCTTCAACCAACTTGGTCTTCATCGTGGAGGATATTCGTCAACTCCTGCACAAGATCAATCCACTCTGCGCGCCGGGGCCCGATGAAATCAATCCTAGGATCCTGAAGGAAATATCGTTTAAACTGGTAAAGCGTCCTGATCTGGTGTTTCACAGTTGCCTAAAGAAGGCCAACCAATCTCTGGATGTAAGGAAGCGATTGTCACGCCAGTTTACAAGACAGGTGACCGGCTATCGCCTGAGAGCCACGGGCCTATTAGCCTCACTGCGTCCCGTGCAGGGTGATGGAACACATTCTGAAACGGGTCATCTTAAATCAACTCACCACAACAACATTACGTCCCAAGTTCAACGAAGATTCCTCTTAAACCGAACATACTCGTATTTATAGACAACTTAATCTAAGTAAGGGATGAGAGACTCATATCGGATGCCATATTTTTCAAATACTCAAAAGCATTCAATTAGGTCCCATGCGCCTTGTTACTCCACAAACTTCAGTCCAACGGTATTCAGGAAAAACTTACGCTCAGACTGAACATTTTGAGTAATAGTAGGCCCGACTTACTCTTCTCCGGCGCCCGTCTGCACTGGAATTCCTCAAGGCTCCGTTTAGGGACTACTGCTCTTTCTGATCTGCGTCATAGAGTTTTCAATGCCCTCTCAGGCCCATGTCCACATTTTGAGAACGATTTGAAATCCTGGGGTTCAAATGCCAGAGTCCCTCGATGGATGTAAACACACGAAGCAGTGTTCGTTGAACTAGCACCTTCGCCCGAGTGACGAAAAGCGCGTTCGTATGTCATTCAGAAGAGATTCAGAGAACGCCTTTTCGTGCATGGTGAGAATGGTCCAGACGATATCATGAAGACAGATGTCAAAAAGGATTTTGGTATCTGATTCTCTTTAAACATCTTCTTACCGCACCATGAAAAATGGGCCTAAAGGGCATTCGCCGTTCTACGGATGATTCTGCGCAACTTATCCTACATTGCTCGCACGGACTTCTAAATACTCTATGAGGCCTACTTTAGACCGCCTCTCCAATAACTCAACCAAGTTGTCTACTCAGGACGCACGAAGGGTGAACCCTCATTGGGCGTGTCCTAGGAGCGTCTAGAAAGATGTTTGCTGGCCCCAAATTCAAGGACCATGAAAGTTTCGTGGTGCTTGACCGCTTTCACCTGCAGTTTCATCGCCCTCGGGAAGACCCAATAATTGTAGACGTAATAAACTATACGTAAGGTTGTTGAAAATACTTCACAATAGCACACGACCGGTTTCACCATTCTTAGAACTCATCAAGCAGGTGCGGTGCTCGAGATTGCGTAAATCTTCTGCTCTACGTGAACCCAAATTAGCGAACTACACTCCTTTGTTCCCAAGATTAGGAGCATCAAAAAAGAGAGAGAGGTTCCAGATGAGTCTTACGCAAGAAATTGTTCTTATATTCACTTGCGCCCTGGTTGAACAAGATCAGACCAACAGGTTTTCCACCTGTGACCCAGCCAACACACATGGCGACATGAAAGGAAGATTTTCGAGCTTGAAGTGCACGAATCTTCTCTCATCTCGGATGGTTTCTGCGTGGAATAACCTCCCGCCGATGACTGTCCTGCTCCACCCAGAACATAGCGCTACTAGAAGATTTTTATTGCGAATCTTCGCGCTTTTATTTCACGGATTCACGAACTGATACAGAGGATCGAGGTCTTTGCCTAAACTTCCAGGGTCGGATTTTTCCTGTCGTTCAGCTTAGTTCCATACGCTGAGAACATAAAAGCAGTGCGTCACAATTTTTTGCTTGTTTCTTTCAGCTGGGTAGCCGCCGCGAAACGACAAGAACAAACTTGATCCGGGATTTCTTGTGCAGAAACCTCGATCCAATGTATCGATCCGTGAATCATTGATCATCGAGGCTGCGGAGGGTAGTTCCTATACTATGCTGTAGTCTGCAGA